GGTCCCTCTTCGACTTATTTTAGGACATCCGAACATCTGGACATCTGGAAACACCGAAAAATGACATTTTGTGGGTTGCGGTACTTTTTTCTCTTGGGTCCCTCTTCTTCCTCTTTTTGCGGACATCCGGACACCTGGACACACACAGAAAAATCTCTCTTTTGGGTTACGGTACTTGTTTCTTGGTGGTCTCTCTTCTCCCCCGTTTTCCCCCCATTTCTCCCCTCTCCAAAACGACCATTTTTAGATGTAATCCCGAACTCGACAATCGTCTATTCTAGTAAGTTTCGTGGAAGTTATGGAAATTTCAGTTTTCTGGAATGTCTGAAAAAAAGCTGAAAATTTCAGTTTTTGTGTCTCTTTTCTTCTTCTCCTCCTCCTCTTTTCTGGAATGTTCTCTATCTCTCTTCTATATCTTCTTTTCCGTTTTTTTTTTCAAATCTATCTGGGTATGCAAGTGTGCTCCGTTGTGAATCTTTCATTTTCAGTGATCTCTATGACTTCTATCCCCGATTTTCTGAGTTTTTATAATGTTTTTTTTTTGAAATCTAAAAATCGAGAAAATTTGGAAAAATCGGTTTTCCCAGAAATTGCTAGGATTGCTCATCTTAAAAAGTGCATTTCTTCAGAATTCCCAACGTCTCGTCTCGAAATGGAGAAGGTTGCCGATCGATTCGACAAGGGCGACGGGATGATCAACGCCAAGGAGTTCATCAATGCGTTGAGATTCGATTCGGCTAATGTGAGTCTTTTTGGCTTTGGCTGAAAATGGTTGAAAATGGCTGAAAATCATGATTTTCGAGTTGAAAATTTGGGTTTTTTGAGCAGAATATGCCTATTTTTGAGCTGAAATTTTGGATTTTTTGAGCTCAAAATGAGATATTTTCGAGCTCAAAATCGTCATTTTGAGCCCATAATCGTCATTTTTCAGCCGAAAATTGGAAGTTTTTAAGCTGAAATTCGGGTTGTAAGCTGAAAATTAGGTATTTTTTTAAGCTCAGAAATGAGATTTTTTGGAATTTTTCAGTCTTTTTTGGAATTTTTCAGTTTTTTGGAATTTTTCAGTCTGAAAATGGCCACATTTCCAGCCGAATCCAATAATGTTTTGCAGCGCAACGCGAAGCCCCAAACGGACACCGAGAAGATCACGCACGAGATCGAGCGACAGAAGAAGACGTGCAGCTGCTGTCAACCGTATCAAATTGAGAAGATCTCCGAGAATCACTATCGAGTGAGTTTCTGGAAATTTGAGCCGAAATGAGTCGATTTGGGTCATTTTAAAAAAGGTGGCCAAACTTTTGCAAGTAGGCTTTTCTAGGCCACCCCCCCCTCTTTTTTTTTGGCCTAGAACTGACCCATTTTGATTTCTAGGTCATTTTAACATGGTGGCCTAACTTTCGCAAGTTGAGTTTTCTAGGCCTTCATTGTGAAATGGCCTAGAACCCACTCCAGATGCAGGTTAGGCCATTACTAGCCAAATTACCATGGTGGCCTAGAAAACTTCACATGCAAAAGTTAGGCCATCACGTTGAAATGACGAAGTAATGGCCCTAACATGGCTCTGGTGGGTTTTTAGGTCGTTTTACCATGGTGGCCTAACTTTTACATGTGGAGTTAGTCCACCAAGTTAGAAGCCCAGCCCTGAAAGCGTTGACCATGCTGAAATAGCAGAAAAACCACACCAGGTGAATAGCTCATTTTCCGTGGTGGCCTANAAAACGCGAATTGCAAAAGTTAGGCCACCAATGTTTATGCCCCTACATATAATCTAACACTGAGCTAGTGTGTTTTTTCGCCATTCTAACATGGTGGCTTAACTTTTGCAAGTTGGGGCTTTCTAGGCCACCATCATCTTTTTCTTGGCTTAGATATGGTCATCGCCAAAAAAGTTGGTGGCCGAGAACACTTAACTAGCAAAAGTAAGTCCCCAATAGGAGCCACTTCTCTCTCTAATAGAAGGGCCTTCCAGAGGCCCCTTGGAACAATAGAACTGCCCTTCTAATAGAGTATGAAATTCTTTGCAGTTCGGTGACACACATATCAAACGAATGGTACGAATTCTGCGATCGACGGTGATGGTCCGAGTGGGTGGTGGATGGGAATCGCTGGATGAATTCCTCCATAAACACGATCCATGTCGAGCGAAGGGACGTCTCAACATCAATATGTTCCCAGAAGCACGTCCCATCAATGCATTAGATTCAATGAGGGCATTCACGAAGAATCGACACGCGAAGGAGATGCCACCGACGAGTGGAACGCCGGGACCGATTATGAAGATTCGAGAGAAGACGGATCGAAGTGTTCCGATGAGTGGAGGGCTGGGTGGAACTGCTGGGTGGGTGTAGGATGAGCAATTACAGTGTTCCCTAGAGTAATCTAGAAGCCTTCTAGAATCTTCTGGAATCGTTTAAAATCCACCAGACGTCTCCAGGAGGTTACAGTCAGGAGTTCCCAGCTACAGTCATCCAATGATTCTTGGAATTATCTGAAATTCTGGAAATTTCCACGACGTTTACTCTCTTTTCCATGCGATTTCCGACGTTTTAATACCCACATTGACCTAGTTCAGTGAGATTCAGAATTTTCACGTCTTCGGGATTCTGAATTCACTTCAAATTCAAAATTCTTCAAACTATGACAATATGGGTATCAAAATGACGGAAATCGCATGGAAACGAGAGTTAACGTCGTAGAAGTTTCAAAAAATTCCAAGGATCTTGGGATTACTGTAACTGGGAACTCTAGAGACTTCCAGATCATTCTGGAGCATCCTGGAGAGCCTTCTGAATCCAAAAATTGCACATCTTTAAACTCCAAATCTTTTCAGGTATACGGTAACAAGCAGCCCGGACCAACGACCATCGCGAATTCCACGTGCCCCATCTGATATGTCTGCTGGTCGACTGTCTCGTGTCGGAAGTGTGTCCAATTCCAGAGGATCTCTCCTTGACGGACCATCAACGCCTTCTAGACCGGAATCCAGGGCGTCGTCGGATGCTGGAGATAGACCAGCTGGACAAACGAGAATTCCGTCGTTGAGAGGAAGAAAGGGACAGAGGTAGGGGCAGTTTTCGGAATTTTTGGGAATTTCTTTCTATTTTTCGGAAATTTTCACGTCATCAACTCTCTTTTCCATGCGATTCCCGACGTTTTGATACCCATATCGACCCGGTTTGGTGAGATTCTGAATTTTGACGTCTTCTGAATTCTGAATTCACTTTAAATTCGAAATCAAAAGTATGGCAATATGGGTATCAAAATGTTGGAAATCACATGGAAAATAAAGTTGACGACGTGAAAATTTCAGAAAATGATGTTTTCAGAATTCAGAAGACGTCAAAGATTTCTGACAAAAATTCTAAATCCTAAAAACGTCATTTTCAGAAATGTTCACGTCGTCAATCTTCTTTTCCTTGCGATTTCCGTCGTTTTTATACCTCTATTGCCCTAGTTTCAAGAATTTGGAATTCAGAATTCAGAAGACGTCAGAATTCCGAATCTCACCGAACTAGGTCGATATGAGTATCAAAATGACGGAAATCGCATGGAAAACAAAGTTGACGACGTGAAAATTTTAGAAAATGACGTTTTCAGAATTCAGAAGACGTCAAAAATCTTTGACATCTTCTAAATTTTGAAAACACAATATTCTGAAATTTTTATTTCGTAGACTTTTTTTCATGTGATTTCCGACGTTTTCATATGCATATTGCGATAGTTTGAAGAATTTTGAATTTGAAGTGAATTCAGAATCCCGAAGACGTCAAAATTCAGAATCTCACCGAACTAGGTTGATATGAGTATCAAAATGACGGAAATCGCATGGAAAACAAAGTTGACGACGTGAAAATTTTAGAAAATGACGTTTTCAGAATTCAGAAGACGTCAAAGATTTTTGAAGAAAAGAATTCCAAATTTTTGCAGATACACTCCACAACATCAACATCAACCCGGATGTCCGTCGTCTTCTTCTTCGAAATAATTTCTCTAATTTTTAATTATTCGATTTTCTTCAAACCAAAATTTTCAAATTCCCACCACCGGATTCTCAGAATTCTCCCCCCATTCATCTCCTCTACAGTACGCGCCGCCCATCCCGTCATCTTGGGTTACTGTAGGTGGAGATTTTGTTGAGAAGGGATGGATTACTGTAGCTCTTTTTTAATTCTCTGTGATCCTTTAATTTGTTTCCCCAAACTGTCTAAAATTCGATTCGAAAAACCGGTACTCTTCTTTTCGTTCATTTTTTCTATGATCCAAAAATTACGATCCAAATTCTTTTGTCTAATTTAATTATTGTAATTAATTAATTAATTAATTAATTACTGTTATCACATGATTATGCCTTCTCTTTTATGTCTTTCTCCGCTTTAATTAAACTATCATAAAGGTAAATAATTTATTTTTAAAATTCGATTTTTTTAAACAAATATATTCGAAAAAAAAATTTAAAAATTGATTCAAAAAAAATCTCATTTTGAAGCTCTAAAATCAAGCAATTTAAAATTTCAGTTTTCAAAGCTCTAAACCTGAAAATCAATCTGTTATGACACATTTTCATTTTTCTTGAAAAATTTCGAAATTTTTAAAATTTGTCATATCTGGTTTCTTTTCAGAATTATTACCATAAAACATAATTTTCTGTTTTTCTTTTAACGAGAGCTTTAAAATGAGTATAAACATGACCTTTCTCGGACAACTTTGAATTTTCGACTTTAAAGGCGCATGGACCCTCGGAAAAATCAAAGTTGACCGAAATAGGTCATGATTATACTCATTTTGAAGCTGAAAACGCGGGAAATTCAAATTTCGTAGTTTCAAAAGTCTCTGACGTCATCAATAAGGTGCATTGCTCATCTTTCCCAGGAGGTCTAATCTGTCTCTTCACATCATAAACAATGGAAAAATCAATAATCTCTTTTTTGGATAAGGTCATAAAATCGATGATATTAGTGTCCCCAAAAAATCTCATATTCTCTAACTATTCCTTTCCAAATATGACGTCTTCAGAATCTCGAAAATTCCAAGATCCAGAATGTTTCGAATCCTTGAATTCTAAATTTCTGGAATCTCCAGAATCTGCGGATTCCGGCTTTCTAGGACCTCCAAAAGCTTCTTCTGAATCTCCAGAATTCAAGGATTCTGGTGAATTTCAAAACTACAGTATCCTCAATCCCCTTGGAATTGGAAATTTCAGTGCTGTCTCTCTAATTTTGACTCAAAAATCCAAAAAATACGCGATGAAAGAATTATTTTCGGAAGAAAACCAAGAGAACGACCCATTTGAAGAATTTGAGAATCATTTTTTGGTTTCAAGCTCCGCCCACCACCCGAATATTCTGAAAATGTATAAAATGAGCAATGACGACGAGGATGGAACATGTCGGTATTTTATGGAATATGTGGATTCTGGAAACTTATTCGAGAGGATTCAAGAGAATTTGGAGAACGGATTTTCAGACAAATTGGCGCTGAAATTTTATAGACAGTTGGTTTTTGGATTGGAGCATATTCATGGAATGGGCATTGCTCATTTGGATATTCGACCCGAGAATTTGATGTTGACCGGAGATGGTGAGTTTTAGAACTGGTTTTGAGCCCCCTCGAATTCGGAGGATTTTTAAGGCTTACTTGGCTTCTGGGAAAGATGAGCAATACACTCTATTGATGACGTCAGAGACTTTTGAAACTACGAAATTTGAATTTCCCGCGTTTTCAGCTTCAAAATGAGTATAATCATGACCTATTTCGGTCAACTTTGATTTTTCCGAGGGTCCATGCGCCTTTAAAGTCGAAATTCAAAGTTGTCCGAGAAAGGTCATGTTTATACTCATTTTAAAGCTCTCATTAAAAGAAAAACAGAAAATTATGTTTTATGGTAATATTTCTGAAAATAAACCAGATATGACAAAATTTGAAAATTTCGAAATTTTTCAAGAAAAATGAAAATGTGTCATAACGGATTGATTTTCAGGTTTAGAGCTTTGAAAACTGAAATTTTAAATTGCTTGATTTTAGAGCTTCAAAATGAGTATAAACAAGCCCTATTTCGCTCGATTTTGATGTTTTGAGAGTCCATGCGCCTTTAAAGTCGAAAATTCAAAATTGAGCAAAACAGGTCATGTTTATACTCATTTCGAAGCATTTAACAAGCTGAATTCATTTATATAAAATTCAAAGTTCTAGGTGAGAGTTGAAAGAAGCTATGGTCATTTTCAGTTTTTGGGCCATTCGCTTAATAAATTAAAAACTACCATATCTCATTGAGTTTTTGAGCAAGTCTTATGAAATTTAGATTTTTGAATTTCCTGAGTTTTCAGCTTCAAAATGAGTATAAACACGACTAAGCTGAGTACATTTTGAAATTTCCAAGTTTAAAGGCGCATGGACCATCGAAAAATTGAAATCGAGCAATATAGGTCATGTTTATACTCATTTTGAAGCATTTGACGAGAAAAAATCATTTCTGAAAGTTTCATCAAATTTTAAATGAAAATAAGATCCTTTCTTGTGTACATATCCTACTGTAACTTTCTTCAATTTAGCCCAAACGCCAAAATTTTTCTGAATTTTGAATTTAGCTTGTTTGGAGCTTTAAAATGCCTAAAAATCAGTTCCAAACTTTCAGAAATCCTAAAAATCAGTGATTTCGGCTTATCAGTTCGATTCAAGGATGAAAATGGCATCTCATCTCTTGTGGAACCTTCTGGAAGCGCCTTATATCGATCACCGGAATGTAGAAAATGCGCTCTAATCGACGGACCAAAATCGGATATTTTTTCAAGTGGAGTGGTTCTTGTTGAGATGTTAAATGGGTGTTATCCATGGGAAGAGGCGACAGAAACTGATGAGAATTATAAGAAATGGATCGATGGAATTGAGAATATGGGATGGAAAAATGCAGGGGAGCTGGTTATGGGTAAGATTTCTTGTTAGAACACTTTCTTAGCTACATTTTGCAGTTTGAATTTCAAAAAAATATGAGATTTAAAGAAAGTTACAACCTTTTTTTTGAGACTATGTCTAGTTTTGTCTGTAACTTCTTTCAAAATTAATATTTTTTCAAAATTCAAGCTGCAAAATGTAGATCTTTGAATTTCCTACATTTGTATATAAAAAATACTACTAGTTGAATTATGGTCCAAGCACTGGGAGGGCGCGAAACGGGCCGGTCAGTTGGAGGCCAGCAGGCGCCCAACGCAGCTTTCGGTTTAGCGCCCTCGTAAAACTGGGACCATGATTCAACAAGTAGAATTTTATATATAAAAACGTAGAACTTTTGAAAAGCTACATTTTGCAATTTGAATTTTCAGAGAATATTGATTTTGAAGCGAGATACAAACCGAAGAAAATAGGATGCACAACATTTGTTGAGATTTTTTGATTTTCTTTGTTTTGTTTTGGCTATAACTTTTTTCAAATTTTTTATTTTCGAACAAAATGAATTGAAAAATGTAGATCTTGAAAATTCCTACAAATTGATATATGATACATTATTATTTGAATTATGGGTCAAGTTCTGCGAGGGCGCGAAGAGCAGTTGAGGCTAGCGGGCGCCCAGCGGCGCGATCGTCTTAGCGCCCTCAAAGAAAGGGGACCATAATTTGCCAAGAAGTATTAAATATATAAAAATGTAGGTTTTTTTTCAAATCTACATTTTTTTCCACTTTGAATTTTTGAAAAATATTGATTTTGAAGAAAGTTACAACCTTTTTTTGGAGCTCTTGTTTTGTTTTGGCTATAACTTTTTAAAAAATTTATATTTTTCAAAAATCTAACTTGCATACTGTAGATCTTGAAATGTTCTAAATTTAAATATACAGCATAAGACTATTTGAAAAATGATTAGTTTCAAAAATCCAATTTTCCAGCATTCCTTCGCAAAATTCTCACCGACGACCCTGAAAAGCGTGCCAAAATCCAGGAAATTAAATCGGATGGATGGTTCCAGGAAAGCTACAGTAATCCGGAGAACTCGAGAAAACGGAAAATCGCCGAAAATGAGCAACAAGAAAAGAGGACAAGGTTAACACCGATTTGTAAAATTTGAACGATTTTTTTTTGAAAATAAATACGTATTTTGGGGATTACTGTACTTTTTTCGGAATTTAAGGATTATGGTAGTTGTCTAGCCACAATTTGCGCGTTGTCCGACCGCGGGTCTTGTCCCGACATGGTGGAATATGTGCTACGTCGTAGGACACCCTAACCATCCTAATTGGTCCAGACACACCTGCCTGTGGGTCCCACCACGATTTGCCTACTTGTGCGCGACCGCTGCCTATTAGTGTCTTCTCCCCATGTCAGATAGTTTATTGATTCTTGCCTCTTTTATATACTGTATTTTCTCCATTCTCATCTATTTGACTCTTAAAATGCCCTTTGCTCTACTCCGTTTCCCAAGACTTGTTCAAAAGGAAATCATGGAAAATTTGGATCCATTTGAGATGTAAGTATGTCCCTATCACTCAAATACAGTAATCTATTGAAGCCTTTCAACGATTTTTATAGAGTATTTTTTGCATTAAAAACCCTTCAGGAAATCCCATGAAAATCAGAAGACACTCTTGAAAGTGTCCTAACTCTGTCAGTTTTGCATAAAAATCGTTTGAACTTGGAAACTTGAGTTTGCCTTGTCATGAGCTTCAAAGTGAGTATAATCATGACCTGTTTCTGAAAACTTCGATGTTTGACTTTAAAGGCGCGTGGGGGTAGGCCAAAAATAAAAAATATCCAAATATAGTCCTGTATATACTCATTTGAAAGCTCATAACGAGCAAAATCCAAAAATATTAAAATTTCCAAATTCTCACATATACTAGTTGAGATACGGTAGCGAAACCTTCCAACCACAAAACAGGCTTGATAATTCCAATCACCGTATTTTCGTCAATTTTTGTTCAGCTTCAAAAATTTTAAAAGTTTTGAATTTGACTTGCTATAAGCTTCAAAATGAGTATGAACACGACCTATTTCCAAATGCTTCGATTTTTGACTTTAAAGGCGCTTACCCCACATTGAAAATCAAAATTTTCAAAACTAGGTCATGTTTATACTCATTTTGAAGCTCTTAACAAACTAAATTCAACAATATCAAAATTTCCGAAATCTCACAATTACTAGTTGAGATACGGTAGCAAGACCTTCGAACCCCAAAACATGCTTGATAATTCAAACCACCGTATTTTCGTCAATTTTTGTCCAGTTTCAAAAATTCTGAGGGCTTTGAATTAAGTTTGTTATGTGCTTCAAAATGAGTATAATCATGGCCTGTTTCTGAAAACTTCGATGTTTGACTTTAAAGGCGCATGGGGGTAGGCCAAAAATAAAAATTATCCAAATATAGTCCTGTATATACTCATTTGAAAGCTCATAACGAGCCAAATCCAAAAATATTAAAATTTCCAAAGTCTCACAATTACTAGTTGAGATACGGTAGCGAGACCTTATAACCACAAAACAGGCTTAATAATTCAAATCACCTTATTTTCGTCAATATCGGTTCAGCTTTTAAAATTCTGAGGATTTTGAATTAAGTTTGTTATGTGCTTCAGAATGAGTATAAACATGAACTATTTCTAAAAATTTCAAATTTTGACCTTAAAGGCGCATGGTAGGTCGAAAATGGTCAAAAATGAAAATCATCCAAATATAGTCCTGTATATACTCATTTAAAAGCTCTTAACAAGCTAAATTCAAAAATATAAAATTTTCCCAATTCTGACAAATACTAGTTGAGATACGGTAGCGAAACCTTCCAACTTGATAATTAAAACGGCTTGATAATTAAAACCGCCGTATTTCCATCAGCTTTGGTTCAGCAACCAAAATTCTGAAAGAATTAATTTTGGCTTGTTATGAGCTTCAAAATGAGTATAAACATGACCAACTTCTGAAAAACTTCAAATTTCGACCTTAAAGGCGCATGGGGGGAAAGTCGAAAATGGTCAAAAATCGAAATCATCCGAATGTAGTCCTGTTTATACTCATTTGAAAGCTCATAACAAGGTGAATTCAAAAATCGAAGTTTCATCGCCTTTGGACCCCTTGAAAATTGGCACTAGTCATGTTTAGGCTCATTTTGAAGCTATTGACGAGTAAAGTTAGTATGTTTTTTTTCAGACTCTACCTGTCCGAATGCTCAAAACTAGCTTTCAATGTTGCCCGGCTAAAAAACATGAAGGAATTCGGGCTAGAAATTGCTTCATCTTCAACCCAAATCCTAATTATTGGTCCGGATTTCAAAGAAGCCGTTGGATTCACATTTAAAAAATCGAGGTCAATGAATTCGATTCGTTATCTTCCCAGCGAGAATCCGGATAAAGACTTTCCAGATCTTTTGAAGAAGATTCTAGAAGTTTTCGGAATCTCCCAAGTCTTGTATTTCTTCACAAACGATTCCAACTTCCAACTTTTCGTCTCAATTTCGGAAATTTTGATTCAACGACAATGCAAAGTTGCTACATTGCATTTTTGGTTGAAACATGTGGAAGATAAGAAGAAGTTAAAGTATATATTGGATAATTTGAGGATTTCCGAGTTGCTGCGATTTCATTCTGATGTCAAATTAAGCTCAAATTTTGAATATATTCCTGGGAATTACCCAAAAGTGCTTAGCGTTGAAAACTCTTCTTGGTTTGGACTAAATCAACTGTTCTCAGCTGTCAAAAGCTCCTTAAAAGTTACAATTTCCAAATCATCGCTCACAATTCATGATCTTAACGAATTCCTTGGAAAATGGATTGCTGGAGAGATTCAAAACATGACAGCGTTCTCTATCTCTATAACTAGCAAAAATTTCATTGGAGACTCGCCGGTTCTCGGAATGAAACAACCGATTATAGGAACGCGGAATTGGCGGATGTAAGTTTAGCAATTTTCATTGAATTTTACTCGTTAAGAGCTTCAAAATGAGCCTAAACATGACCATAATTGGATAACTTTGAAATTTTGTCAACTTTGCATGGTCCCTAACTTTCTCAGTTTTGCTCTAAACCTTATGCAACTTACATTTTTGAGTTTGCCTTGTCATGAGCTACAAAATGAGTATGAACACGCCCTATTTCTGAAAACTCCCAATTTTGACCTTAAAGGCTCATGGGGATAGGTCAAAAATGAAGTTCATTCAAATATACTTGTGTTTATATTCATTATGAAGCTCTTAACAAGCTAAATTCAAAAATATAAAATTTTCCCAACGCTGACAAATAATTGTTGAGATACGGTAGCGTGACCTACCAACCCAAATAGGCTTGATAATTAAAACTACCGTATTTCCGTCAATTTTTGTTCAGCCTCAGAAATTTTAAAAGTTTTGAATTTGACTTGCTATAAGCTTCAAAATGAGTATGAACACGACCTATTTCCAAATACTTCGATTTTTGACTTTAAAGGCGCTTACCCCACATTGAAAATCAAAATTTTCAAAACTAGGTCATGTTTATACTCATTTTGAAGCTCTTAACAAACTAAATTTAACAACATTAAAATTTCCCAATTGTGACAAATACTAGTGGAGATACGGTAGCGAGACCTTCTAACCCCCAAACAGGCTTCATAATTAAACCTATCGTATCTTTGTCAATTTTGGTTCAGCTTCAGAAGTTTTAAAAGTTTTGAACTCATCTTGCCAAGAGCTTCAAAATAAGTATAAACATGACCTATTTCTAAAATTTTCAAAATTTGACCTTAAAGGCGCATGGTACGTCGAAAATGGTCAAAAATGAAAATCATCCAAATATACCCGTGTTTGTACTCGTTTTGAAGCTCATAACAAGGGAAACTCAGAAATATAAGTTTTATACAATTTGAAGCAAAACTGACCAAGTTATGACCGTTGTAAAGTTTATATAGCTTTTTTCAGTACCCTAACTTTGTCAATTTTGCTCCGAATTTCATAATTTTACAATTTTTGAATTAAACTTTTTATAAGCTTTAAAATGAGTAAAAACATGCGTATATTTGGAACTATTTTCAAAAATCTCAAATTTCGACTTTAAAGGCGCATGGGGGAAGGTCAAAAATGAAAATCATCCAAATATAGCCGTGTTTATACTTATTTTGAAGCTCATGACAAAAGGAACTCAAAATTATATATTTTTCAGAACTTGAAGCAAGACTGAAAAAGTTAGGGACCATACAAAAATTGCCGAAATTTCAAAATGCTTCAAACTTTGCCGTTTCGTCTCATTTTGAAGCTCATGACAAGCGGAATTCAGAAAAATAGGTTTAATCAATTTACTTACAGTAATCACGGAGTTATCTGTGCAAAAGTTCAATTTGGACGCTTGATCAAGAACATCAATGGAGAGGAAGCAGTCATTGAACTGATGTATAACAGATTTTTGTTCCTAGCTTCGAGTTGATTTTTGAAATCAATTTCTTATCATTTTATCATTTTTTTAAACGCAATTTGAGGCTAAAAATTTGAAAACCAATAAACATATTTATCCATAAATTAGAGGAGAAACATCATTTGGGTTTTCGTGAATCTTCAGAATACAAAGGAACATTACAATGAGAGCAATGAGCAAAAATGCGAGGAGTACTGTAGATTCCGAGTTCTTGAAGACGTCGGTGGGGTGTCTTCAGGTGATGGGAGGATGTAGACTTGGAAGTGACGGAGTTTTTTCTGCAAAAATAGATTCTGAAAATGGCTGAAAATCGAAAATTTCGGAAAATTTCAGATAATTCCAGACAATTTTTCTGGAATTTTGATAATGGAAACGTCGGTTTTTTTTTCGATGTTCAGATAATTTCCTTAATTTCAGCCGGACCTAATTTTTGGGGATTTTCAGAAATTTTTGAAAAAAAATGTTGAAAATTTTTTTTTGGAAATTTTCAAAAATAACTAGTTCTATAATTAAGTTTTAATTGACTAATTAACTCACCGCTGATGGTGCTTATCTCGGATAATTTTTGTTCAAACTCTATAGAACTTAATTTATTGAATTTGGCTTGTTATTAGCTTCAAACTGAGTATAAACATGACCATATTTGGAAAACATTGAAATTTCGATTTTAAAGGCGCATGGACCGCAAAAAATTCAAAATTTTGGAATGGCTTGTGGGTACTCATTTTGAAGCTCTAAACGTACTTAATTCAAATTTTTTAAAATTTGAGTTCGAACAAAAATTGAAAAAGTTATGGATGCTTTTCTGATTTTGAAAAAAAATCACTGAAAGTTAAAATGACCGTATCTCGACTAATTACAGTCCAAACTCAATAAAACTTAGTTTTTTGGATTTGGCTTGTTATTAGCTTCAAAATGAGTATAAACATGACCATATTTGGAAAACATTGAAATTTCGATTTTAAAGGCGCAGGGACCACAAAAAAATCAAAATTTTGGAATTATGGCTTGTGGGCACTCATTTTGAAGCTCTAAATGTGCTGAATTCAAATTTGTTAAAGATTTTTGAATTTATCAATATTTATTTTCAGATTTTCCAGATCAAATCAAATTTCCAGAACACAAAAACCACAATCGCAATTAATAATCCAAGCGCGCCGCAGGCGCGCCACCTGAATTTTTTGAATTTTGACGTCTTCTTTTTCGGCGGAGCCGGATTTTCAATTTTTGGAGCCACTCGAATTTTCTGGTGACGTCTGTCGAATTTAGGGGGTCCAGGATTTGTGGGCGGAGCCTAAATTTTTTTGTCAAAAAAAGTTTTTTTTTTTTTGAAATTCCTACCGTAATCACCGGTTGGTCCACAGATGCTAGAGATGAGGGAGCAACAGTACTCTGGAAATTTTTGGGTTACTGTAGGGAACGTTTGGCTACTGTACTACTCACTTTGTATTCGCGATACATTTTGGAGGAGAAAGAGAAAGATTATAAGGCTGAGCAATATACGAAAAATGAGAAAAAACAGGCATAAACACCTCGAATTCCATCCCTGGAGACCAATTGCTCATGGAAATAATTCACATCATATTCTTAGGATTTGTTATTGTTAGAGGTACTAATAGGGGAATAATGGGAAAATTAAAAGTACCGTAACTTTTTCAATTTTTGATCAACCTTAAAAAATTCCGAGAATTCAAATTTGGGACGTTAAGAGCTTCAAAATGAGCACCGACAAGCCGTAATTCCAAAAATTTTCATTTTCCGGGGGTCCATGCGCCTTTAAAGTTGAAATTTCGAAATTTTCAAAACTAGGTCATGTTTATACTCATTTTGACGCTCTTGATCAGACAAATTCAGTGAACTAGATTTTATTGTTTGGGCGAAAATTAGCCGAGATACGGTCATTTTGACTTTTCTCGGGGACATGCGCCTTTAAAGTTGGAAAATCGAAGTTTTTCAAAAATGGTCGTGATTATATTCATTTTTGACCTTTTGATCAGTCAAATTCACTTAACTGTATTTCATTTATTTTGGGTCAAAATTAACCGAGATACGGTCATTTTGATCTCCAGCATTATTTTTTCATCAGAAAATCGCCTATAACTTTTTCAATTTTTGTCGAAAAACTCATAATTTGTGATATTTACACTTGGGGCGTTAAGAGCTTTGAAATGAGCACCCACAAGACATATATCCAAAAATTTTGAATTTTGCGGTGGTCCATGCTCCTTTAAACTCGAAAATTCGAAGTTTTCCGAGTACGGTCATGTTTATACTCATTTTGAAGCAAATAACAAGGCTAGTTCAACAAAACACATTTCATCAAGTTCAGGCTTAAATGAGTCGAGATACTGTAACTTTGATTTTGATCCCCAAAAATTCGCTAAATCTCAAAAATCGGAAATCCACCCAGAAGGTTGTAGAATCTCAAAAAATACAAAAAATGTATTCTTTCCATATAGGTAATCGTTTTCTTCTTACGTCAATGGGTGTCAGAAGTCCAAAAAAAGGGGGCGGAGCCAAGAAAAGGATTCTGGACCAAAATTATTTTTATTCTGGATTTTCATTCCACTCGCTGAAAAATGGCAAACTCTCAGAAATCCAAGAAAAGCGGAAAAGTTAAAGTGAGTTTTTCGAAATCTTGAAATTTTGAAAATTCAAAGATTTCAGATTTGGACCAGCAAAGTGTATCCAGTGTATGCAGGTCAACCACTACCAGATATTCCAATGGGACCAACGTCGTCTTCAGAATGGAATTCGCTATCAAGATGTGATAAAACTATTATCATTACAGCGATAATTCTCCGTTTAATTGCATTTTCCATCGTTGCTTTTATCTATGTTTCTCATGCTGATAACAGCAAAAATCAATAAATCTATAAATTTTGAGTATTGGAAATGGATTTTGCTCGTTTAGAGCTTCAAAATGAGTACCCACAAGGCAGGATTCCAAGGAATTGGATATTTCGAGGGTCCATGCGCCTTTAAACATGAAAATTGGAGTTCCGACAAATATGGTCATGATTATACTCATTTTGAAGCTGAAATCAAAATACGTTCAAAAATATAACTTTCATGGGTTTGGAGCCAAATTGACCGAGATACGGTACTACTTTGAAGTTGTCAGCATTGTTTTTAAACCAGAAAATCATCGATAACTTTTTCAATTTTTGTTCAAGCATAAATATTTTGCAAAACTTGAATTTGGAAGGTTTGAAGCTTCAAAATGAGTATAAACAAGGCACAATTCTAAGACATTTGAATTTTCCATGCGCCTTTAAACCTGAAAACTTGAAGTTAGCCAAATATGGTCTTGTTTATACTCATTCTAAAGCTGAAATCAAAATGCGTGCACAACATTTTGTTTCATTGGGTTTGGACCAAAATTGACAGAGATATGGTAATTTTAATTTCCAGCATTGTTTTTCAATCAGAAAATCACTCATAACTTTTCAAATATTGGTTCGAACTCGAATTTTTTAAACGAATTTGAGTTGAGTGTATTTTCAGTTCCAAAATGAGTACCCACAAGGCATAGTTCCGAAAATTTTCAAATTTCCAGAGTCCATGCGCCTTTAAAGTCACAAAATTGAATTTCTCCAAATATGGTCATGTTTATACTCATTTTGAAGCTGAAACCAAAATACGTTCAAAAAATTAAGTTTCATAGAGTTTAGACCAAAATTGATTGAGATGCAGTCATTTTTATTTTCAGACCATTTTTTTTAAATCGAAAAATCGGCCATAACATTTCGAATTTTCTGTTCAAATCTGAAATTTTTGTTAGTTTTGAATTAAACACGTTTGAAGCTTTACAATAAGTACCCACAAGCCGTAATTCCAATAATTTTTATTTTTCGGCGGTCCGCCTTTAAAGTCGACAATTTTTCAATTTATCAAATATGATCTTCCCGGGACCAGCACCAAGAAATGCTCAAAAATCAAGGTTGTAATATATTAGGGCTGAAAATGGAAAATTTCACATTTTTTCAGATAATTGATGTCTCGAATGTGGCTCCTGGACGTTTCAGAACCACGACGTTTCAGAACTCGACAGTTCAGAACCCGACGTTTCGGAACTTTTCTGCATTCTTGTATAGTGGTTTTTGCACACCAAATGAGCATTGCTCATTTCAATTTTGTGCTCTTCTGCTTTTTTATTCGTTCTCATCTACCGTACTCCAAACAATGATAGGTTCATACTCGGAATCTCGCAAAAATGAGAATCATGTGCGCCGGAAAAATGTTTGCGTACTTCTAGGCATCGTTTTTGAAAATTTCAATTTTTTTTTCGATTTTTTGAGAGATTCCGAGTATGAACCTATCATTGTTTGGAGTACGGTAGATGAGAACGAATAAAAAAGCAGAAGAGCACAAAATTGAAATGAGCAATGCTCATTTGCATCGGGTTCGGAACTGTTGAGTTCTGAAACGTCGTGGTTCTGAAACGTCGGGTTCTGAAACGTCCAGGAGCCTCGAATGTCTTTGCCAAAACAATAAGCCGCGCCCATAAGGGGGAGTCCGTTTCTTATTCATTTAAAGGGGGGGGGGGACATGAAAAAATATTGTTCTCGAAATTTCGTTTAAATATGCCTCTCGAGGATTTGAACTTGTGAGGGCGATGATTGAGGGTGCGGCGCCGCTACCGACTGAGCCACGCGGGCAAAGAGAAAGCGGTCGCCCGATTGCATACATAAAGGCGAGGACGACAGCTGTACGCAGAGTGACATTAAGCGTTGTACACCGTCACGGTAGAATGCATACTCTAGCTACAAAAAAAACTACGAAAAATCTCCTGTCCCCCCACCTTTAATAATGTACCAAACTGCTAGACTTCAACTTTCCTATTTTTGTCTCTTTTGTCATGAAATGTTTTTATTTGTATAAAATTAGATTATTATCAAACTTTGTTTATAGAAAATGAAATGATTATATAGATGAAAGAAGGAGTGAGAATTCCAGGTTGAATCAATTTCAGCAGAATCTTGAGACGATTCGTAGAGTTCCATATCGATTTTTTCGACTTGAAGCTTTCTATGATTGTCGCTGGCTTGTGCATGCACCTCTAACATCCGGACTTTTGCATTTTTCTTCAATATTTTGTTCACAAGAAACGATGAGTATTCCGAAGTTTCAAGCTATTTCGTTGTAGAAAATTGTTCCAGGTGTTTCCGATGGAGCTTGATTTTCTCTGGCATGGAATTCTCCCTCGATGTCATTGGGTGATCCGTTCGATGTAGAGCTTTCCTGTAAAACAAAATTTGGTAGGATAATTATTGTAGTCACTTACATATCCGAAATCGAAAAATACTGGCAAACGACTTTCAGAGCTTCATCAGCGATTTCGTTGAGCTCATTCTGAAAATAATGACAATTTTCGAATTTTCCACCTTAAAGGCGCATGGATTCTTGACCTAAACTTGATGAAATTATTTCTGTCGAATTTGTCTTGTCGTTAGCTTTAAAATGAGTATAAACATGACCACATTTGTCAAATCTCGAATTGTCAACTTTAAAGGCGCATGGACCATTCGAAAATTGGAAATTTTCGAAATTGTGCCTTGTGGGTACTCATTTTGAAGCCTTCAATGTATCAAACTCAAATTCCTTGAAGAAATATTGAGTTTGAACCAAAATTAAAAAGATATTGATGCTTTTCTGATTTAAGAAATTTCTGAAAATCCAAATTACCGTATCTCTGTCACTTTTGGCCCCAGCCCAATGAAATGTAGTTTTTTGAACGTATTTTGGTTTCAGCTTCAAAATGAGTATAAACATGACCATATTTGGAAGATTTAGAATTTTCGACTTTAAAGGCGCATGGACCACCGAAAAAATGAAAATGTTTGGAACTATACCTTGTAGGTACTCATTTTGAAGCACTAAATGTATCAAACTCGAATTCGTTAAAAAATTTGAGTTTAAACAAAGGTTGAGAAAGTTACGGTAGTTTTTGCATATCCTCAATTGATGACTCTAACAATAACAAGGACAATTCTTAAGAATATGATGGGAAATAAATTTTTTTCACATTTTTCAATTATAATTTTTTTAAATGTATTCTTACCTTACATTCTCAGAAAAATTGAGAAAAATGGGCTACATTGTGAATATAGACATAGAATTTCAGAAAAATAGAGCTCGAAATTGGTTAGGCACGTACATTGCGCCAGTTGGAAACAATAATGAAATGGTTGGGACGGTGGAATATGAATGAGAAACATAAAACGAGAGACAATAGAGTGTTGGAGAGACGCAGACATTCGTCCCCTCTCTTTTTTTTTGCAGTGTCTCACCAGGACGCCAAAGGTTATGACATTTGGAAATTCGAAAATGATGAAATAGGAGACCAGAAAACCATTCATATCAATTTGAAAGATGAAAAATTTCAGGATTTTCAAGTTTAGCCCTTTAAAATGAGTATAAAATGAGTATAGGATCCTATTTTTGGAGATCGAAAAATTCCTACTACCGTATCTCGGTCAATTTTGGTCCAAATCCCATGAAATTAGATTTTTTGAACGTGTTTTAGTTTCAGCTTCAAAATGAGTATAAACATGATCATATTTGGAAAACTTCTAAATTTCAACTTTAAAGGCGCAGGGACCCGCGAAAAATGAAAATATTTTGAATTGCATCTTGTGGGTACTCATTTTGAAGCTTCAAACCTGCCAAATTTGAGTTTTGCAAAATATCCGAGTTTGAACAAATACTGAGAAAGTTGTGGATGATTTTCTGATTGTAAAAAAAATAACGCTGAAAATCAAAATGACCGTATCTCTGTCAATTTTGATTCAAATTCCATAAAACTAAGTTTTTTGGACGTATTTTGATTTCAGCTTCAAAATGAGTATAATCATGACCATATTTGTCGGAACTCCAATTTTCATTTTAAAGGCGCATGGACCCTCGAAATATCCAATTCCTTGGAATCCTGCCTTGTGGGTACTCATTTTGAAGCTCTAAACGAGCAAAATCCATTTCCAATACTCAAAATTTATAGATTTATTGATTTTTGCTGTTATCAGCATGAGAAACATAGATAAAAGCAACGATGGAAAATGCAATTAAACGGAGAATTATCGCTGTAATGATAATAGTTTTATCACATCTTGATAGCGAATTCCATTCTGAAGACGACGTTGGTCCCATTGGAATATCTGGTAGTGGTTGACCTGCATACACTGGATACACTTTGCTGGTCCAAATCTGAAATCTTTGAATTTTCAAAATTTCAAGATTTCGAAAAACTCACTTTAACTTTTCCGCTTTTCTTGGATTTCTGAGAGTTTGCCATTTTTCAGCGAGTGGAATGAAAATCCAGAATAAAAATAATTTTGGTCCAGAATCCTTTTCTTGGCTCCGCCCCCTTTTTTTGGACTTCTGACACCCATTGACGTAAGAAGAAAACGATTACCTATATGGAAAGAATACATTTTTTGTATTTTTTGAGATTGGCAAATGTTGAAAAACAACCTTCTGGGTGGATTTTTGATTTTTGAGATTTCAACATTTTTGGGATCAAAAGCTTAAAGTTACAGTATCTCGACTAATTTTTGTCTAAACTTGATGAACGCAGTTTTGTTGTATTTGGCTTGTCTTTAGCTTTAAAATGAGTATAAACATGACCTTATTCGTCCAAAGTCGATTTTTCAACCTTAAAGGCGCATGGACCACCCGAAAATTTACATTTTTTAAATCCTACCCTGCGGGTACTCATTTTAAAGTTCGAAACGCGTCAAACTCAAATTCCATCAAAAATGCGAATTCGGACTAATTTTGAAGAAGTTAGGGGCAATTTTCTGATTTTGAATGAGAAACACTGAAAATCAAAATGACCGTACCGCTGTCAATTTTGGTCCAAACCCATTGAAAATTAGTTTTTTGAACGTATTTTGATCTCAGCTACAAAATGAGTATAAACATGACCATATGTGGAGAATTTCGAATTTTCAACTTTAAAGGCGCATGGACCCCCGAAAATTCATAATTTTTGGAGTTGCGTCTTGTGGTTACTCATTTTGACGCTCTTAACAAGCAAAGTTCGAAAATGCAAGAAAATTTGAGTTTAAGCAAAAATTGAAGAAGTTATGGATGATTTTCAGATTCAGAAAAAATTATTCTGAAAATTAAAATGACCGTATCTCGGTCAATTTTGGCCCAAGCCTGATGTAATCGAAATTTTTGAACGTATTTTGATTTTAGCTTTAAGATGAGTATAAACACGACTATATTTGGAGAGCTTCGTGTTTTCCGGTTTAAAGGCGCATGAACCCCCGAAAATTCATAATTTTTGGAGTTGCGTCTTGTGGGTACTCATTTTGACGCTCTTAACAAGCAAAGTTCGAAAATGCAAGAAAATTTGAGTTTAAGCAAAAATTGAAGAAGTTATGGATGATTTTCAGATTCAGAAAAAATTATTCTGAAAATTAAAATGACCGTATCTCGGTCAATTTTAGCCCAAGCCTGATGTAATTGAAATTTTTGAACGTATTTTGATTTTAGCTTTAAGATGAGTATAATCATGACCATATTTGTCGGAACTCCAATTTTCATGTTTAAAGGCGCATGGACCCTCGAAATATCCAATTCCTTGGAATCCTGCCTTGTGGTTACTCATTTTGACGCTCTTAACAAGCAAAGTTCGAAAATGCAAGAAAATTTGAGTTTAAGCAAAAATTGAAGAAGTTATGGATGATTTTCAGATTCAGAAAAAATTATTCTGAAAATTAAAATGACCGTATCTCGGTCAATTTTGGCCCAAGCCTGATGTAATCGAAATTTTTGAACGTATTTTGATTTTAGCTTTAAGATGAGTATAAACACGACTATATTTGGAGAGCTTCGTGTTTTCCGGTTTAAAGGCGCATGAACCCCCGAAAATTCATAATTTTTGGAGTTGCGTCTTGTGGGTACTCATTTTGACGCTCTTAACAAGCAAAGTTCGAAAATGCAAGAAAATTTGAGTTTAAGCAAAAATTGAAGAAGTTATGGATGATTTTCAGATTCAGAAAAAATTATTCTGAAAATTAAAATGACCGTATCTCGGTCAATTTTAGCCCAAGCCTGATGTAATTGAAATTTTTGAACGTATTTTGATTTTAGCTTTAAGATGAGTATAAACACGACTATATTTGGAGAGCTTCGTGTTTTCCGGTTTAAAGGCGCATGAACCCCCGAAAATTCATAATTTTTGGAGTTGCGTCTTGTGGGTACTCATTTGGACGCTCTGAACAAGCAAAGTTCAAAAATGCAAGAAAATTTGAGTTTAAGCAAAAATTGAAGAAGTTATGGATGATTTTCAGATTCAGAAAAAATTATTCTGAAAATTAAAATGACCGTATCTCGGTCAATTTTAGCCCAAGCCTGATGTAATTGAAATTTTTGAACGTATTTTGATTTAAGCTTTAAGATTAGTATAAACACGACTATATTTGGAGAGCTTCGTGTTTTCCGGTTTAAAGGCGCATGGACCCTGGAAAATTCAAATGTCTTAGAATTGTGCCTTGTGGGTACTCATTTTGACGCTCTTAACAAGCAAAGTTCGAAAATGCAAGAAAATTCGAGTTTGAACGAAAATTCAAAAAGTTACGGTAGTTTTTATTAACTGAAAGTCGAGTTTTGACTCATTTTTATTGCTTCTTGTTGGAAAAAAAGAGATAGTAAGCAATTAAACTAGCTAAACCAGAAAAAACCAATAAAATAGCTGTAATAGAACTGCATTCATCGAAAAATGTGGATGTTTCTGGGTCCTCGGATTCAGAATCAGCCATTGGCGGGGCTGTAGACGGATGGATTTTGTTGGTGGACATCTGGACAAACAGATGGACATAAATTAAAGAAGTTATTAAGAAATAGGATTACCTGGATAGATGTTGCTGGTAAATTGTTCATTTTAGCAAAATTTGGAATAAAAAAAAGCAGAAAACTATTTTTCTGGAATTTTCTAAATTTATATACTGGGCAGTGACACACCCGCTCGTATCAGACATAGGCGAAAAATGTAGTTTTATGGTCTGTTCAGGGAAATTGGTTTTTTGAACTTTTTTTCTTTTTGCTCAATGAGCTACAATCTTGGGAAAAATTGAATTTGTAGTTATACTTTTAAGTCTGACACAATTAGAGCTTCAAAATGAGCCTAAACGTGCCCTAAAACGGGTCCAAAAATCACTAATTTGTGTGTTAAAACTTTTAAACCACACTAAAAAATCAGCAAAAAAAAGAAAAAAGCATAAGCCCAATGCGGGGCTCGAACCCGCGACAACCAGATTAAGAGTCTGGTGCTCTACCGACTGAGCTAACCGGGCGGCGACAGCTAGGGAAAACGAGAGCGTATAAGAAGTAGCGGCGCGGACGAGACAGAGAGGGGGAGGAGGAGGCGCAGAGAAAGCGCGCTCACGTGTGTGGAGGGAGGGCGCTTGAAACTTAAAACTCTGTAACTTTCGTGAAAATCGCCCAATTTTGAAAATTCTAACTGCAAATTGTAGGACTTAAAAAGCGCTTTAAATTCATATACAATTCATGTAACTTCAAATTTTCCCAGCAAGTGAAAAATGCGAATAACCAATGAGACCCAAAAACAGTGTTAAAACTACCGTATCTTTTTCACTTTTCGTCTAAACATGAAAATTCTGATTGATCTGCGTTCAGGAAGCTTAGAGCTTTAAAATGAGTATCCACAAGGCCTAATTAAAAATTTTAGATTTTGGAATTTTTTTGGTCCATGCGCCTTTAAATCTGAAAATTCTGAATCAGGTCATGATTATACTCATTTTGAAGCTCTTGATGAGCCAAATCCACTTAACTATATTTCATTGAGTTTGAGAAAAAACTAACCGAGATACGGTAGATTTTCATTTTTTGTATTTTTTCGAAAATCACAAAATTAGCCACAACTTTGTCAATTCTGGTCCAAAATTGAATTTTTCGCTATTTTTGAATTTAGGACGTTTAGAGCTTCAAAATGAGTACCCACAAGGTATACTTTGAAAACTTTTTGATTTTTCACTTTTTGGTCCATGCGCCTTTAAAATGCGACTTTTTGACACAAGAAGAACTTTATTTATTAGGCACCATCGAAGTTGATTTTTTCTGTTGTTGTAGATTGATACATATCACATTTTGAGAGGTAATTTTCAGCGAAAAAAATGAATTTCAGAAAAAAAAATTTTTTCTGAAAATCTGAAATTTTCAGATTTTTCAAAAAAAAAACTGGGGAAACGAACAGGGAGGAGGATAAAACTATACAGAGCAAGACAAAAAAATGGAAAAAAAATACAAAAAAAACATGAATAAATTATATGATTTTGATTGAAAATAGCCGTAAAAGTGGGCGGAGCCTCCTGAAAGTGGGCGGAGCCTGTGAAGTGGGCGGAGCCTCCTAAACATCGAAATGAGCCAGCTGATCGTGGTTTCGAAGGTAGCGGGGTTGAGCTTTCTGTGGGGTCACACACGGCACCAGCCACAGGATTTTGGGACCTGGAAATTTCGATTTTTTTTTGAAAATTTTGAATTTCATGGTTTGGCGGGAAATTTGAATTTTGAAAAAAATTCTGAAAACCCCATTTTTAGAGCTTCCTGGGGTAAAAAACGCTGAAAATTCGAATTTTTGGCTTAAAAACCTTCAGAAAAAGGCATTTTTTGGCGGGAATTTTGAATTTTTTTTTGAAAAAATTTGTATTTTCGGCTTGGCGGGAAATTTGAATTTTTTGAAAAAATTCTGAAAACCCCATTCTTAGAGCTTCCAGGCGTAAAAAACGCTGAAAAAAACCAAAAATTTGACCGAAAACCCTTTATTTTGAGCGGGAAATTTGAATTTTTGAATTAAATGACTTGGCGGGAAATTTGAAAATCTGAAAATTCAACCTTCAAGGTTTCCAGGCATAAAAAATTCTAAAATTTCCAAATTTTTGGCTTAAAATCCTTCAAAAAAACCTTTTTTGGCGGGAAATTTAAATTTTTCGAATTTTCGAAAATCTGAAATTTCAAGTTTCTGGGCTTAAAATATCGATTTCTCAGCTTTTCAGGCGTGAAAAACCTCGAAATTTCCAGATTTTCAGCTCAAAAACCTTCAAAAACACCTTCATTTTGAGCGGGAATTTTGAATTTTTGAATTGAAAAAAAAATTTGGCGCGAATTTTGAATTTTTCGAATTTTCGAAAAATCTGAAATTTCAAGTTTCTGGGCTAAAAATCTTGTAAAAATCTCATTTTCAAGGTTTCCAGGCGTGAAAAACACTGAAAATTCCGAAATTTCGACCCAAAAACCTTCGAAAAATACCTTTTTTGATGGGAATTTTTGAATTTTATGGCTTGGCGGGAAATTTGAAAACCTGAAGATTCGATTTTCTAGGCTAAAAATCCTGTTTTCAGAGCTTCCAGGGGTCAGAAAACGCTGAAAAAAAAAACCAAAAATTTGACCTAAAAACCTTCAAAATCACCTTTATTTTGAGCGGGAAATTTGAATTTTTGAATTGGAAAAAATTTTGGCGGGAAATTCAAATTTTTCGAATTTTCGAAAAATCTGAAATTTCAAGTTTCTGGGCTAAAAATCTTGTAAAAATCTTATTTTCAAGGTTTCCAGGCGTGAAAAACCTCGAAAATTTCAAATTTCTCAGCTTAAAAACCTCTAAAATCCGTACCTGGACCGCAAACCTGCTTCATCATGGCCACTTTACTATTCCTGGGCCTTCTGGACGACGCCAAATAGTTCCTTCCGCGTCGTTGACACGCCTCGATGGCGGTTTCGTCTGTGAATATGGCGCCGAGCTGAAAATAAGCAGGGATTTTGGCTGAAAATCGCTGAAATTGCTCATTTTTAACCAGGAAAATTGCTGAAAATCGTGATTTTTAGACTAAAAAATTGGCAAAAAAAAAACAACATTTTTGGGTTGAAAATCGCTGAAAATCTCACTTTTTCAACTCGAAAATCGCTGAAATTGCTCATTTTTCGACTTAAAAACTGGCAAATATCAAACTTTCGGGTTGAAAAACGCTGAAAATCCCATTTTCTAGATTAAAAATCGCTCACAAATTATTTCGCGTTTGTGTGGCACCTTAAATTGCTGAAAATCTCGATTTTCAGCCCTAAAAATCGCTGAAATTCCTCATTTTCATCCCAAAAATACCTGATCACACGAGACAGCCAACACGAACAGCCCGAATAGTGCACTTTCCATGGCCAGCATGACTGAGTGAATTCTGGAAAAAAACGAAGGAGATTTTCAGTCAAATATACTGAATTTTGAGCTATTTTAAGCCATTTTTCATGATTTTCAGGCAATTTTACAGGTATGAGAGCTGTGTTTTTTAGTCATTTTAATAAGCTCATTTTTCGTTCTTTTTCAGTCAAAATTAGCGTTTTTAGACCACTTTCTTCATGATTTTCAGACAATTTTGAACCACCTATTGGACCTGGAATTCGGCATATCACGACCATTTTCAGCCAAATTTTGGCCTATTTTAAGCCATTTGAGCGTCATTTTCAGCTAATTCAGCTACTAATAACAGCGTTTTTTTAGACCATTTTTAGTCTAACTTAGGCCTGTTTTAGGTCAAATTTCACGATTTTTAGCTCACATTTAGCCTATTTTCAGCCATTTTCAGCTCATTTTAGGCCAAAATTTGACGAAAAACTCACACTTTAGCATGATATATATTTTCGCCGAGTGGTCCTTTGAGACCCGTTGACCCGTAAGCGTCGTGGTACACCCAGCATAGGCAGAGGATACTGTAAAAATTGAGAATTTTCGACTTTTTCGACTCGAAATCACGATTTTCAGCCATTTTTCAGCCAAAAATGACGAATTTTTGGCTATTTCTAGTTGAAAATCGATGATTTTCAGCCAATTTTAAGCTTAAAAATGAGGATTTTTACAGAATTTTTAGCTAAAAATGACAATTTTCAGCCGATTTCTGGCTGAAAATGGCGATTTTTGAACCATTTCTAGCTGAAAATCGACGATTTTCAGCTCATTTTCAAGTTAAAAAACACGATTTTCAGCAAATTTTCAACCAAAAATGACGAATTTTAAGCCACTCTTATGTTTAAAATTACCATTTCCATCGAAGTTTAAGGCTAAAAAATGACGATTTTTACACAATTTTCAGCTAACAATCACGATTTTTAAGCTGTTTTTGGCTCAAAATCCCGATTTTCAGCGAAAATTTAAGCTTAAAAATGCCAATTTTAAAACTTTTTTTGGCTGAAAATCGACAAGATTTTTAGCTTGAAATAGGCGAAAAACACTTACAATAATGAGTATAAACTGGAGATGCCAACGTAGAAGATGAATTGAAGGAACCATTTTTGATTCAGCTCACCAACACAATTGTTCACCCATGGACCTGCGAGACAAAAAATTGAGAATTTCAGCATAATTTTATATAGGGTTTTGAGGCTGAAAATCGCCTAATTTTGGCTGAAAAAGTCTGAAATTCAAGGGATTTTCAGTGTTTTAAAGCTAATTTTAACGAAATTTTGTGTTTTTTAGCCGAATTCCGACTGTTTCAGGCTTGTTAATGGCCAATTTTGACCTATTCTTTAGCGATTTTCAGCGATTTTCAGCCATTAAACCAGCGATTAGGTCATTTTCAGGCCATTTATAGGTAATTTAAGGCTTTTCTAGGCTACTTTTATACATTTAAAGGCCATTTTCGGCTTGTCTATGCTTTTTTTAGGCCCTTCTAGACCGTTTTTAGGCTGTTCTATGTCATTTTTAGGCCGTTTTTAGGTAATTTTTAGGTAATTTTTAGGTAATTTTTAGGTAATTTTTAGGTAATTTTTAGGTAATTTTTAGGTAATTTTCAAGTCATTTTAAGGTCATTTTAAGGTCATTTGTAGCTAAATTTCAGCCAATTTTCAGCTCATTTTTAGCCAAATTTAAATGCGGAAAAAATCGCGACAAAAGCCACAAAAATCACTTTTTAGAGACCTAAAATCGCCAAAATCAGAGAAAAATGAAGTTTGTAACGATTTTTGACGATTTTAGGTCATTTTAAGTCACTTTTTGGGCATTTTCAGTCATTTTAGCTCTGAAAAACCACTTCCAAAATGAATTTTCGACCCTATTATGGCACTTTTGGTCAATTTAGGTCATTTTTAGTCATTTTTAGCTATTTTTAGCTCATTTTCAGGTCCTTTTTTACTCTAAAAACCTCTGAAAAGGTGAATTTTAGATCGATTTTTGACGATTCTAGGGAATTTTTAGTCATTTTCAGTCGTTTCTGAGCAATTTTCAGCCTGCGAAAACCCGAAAAACCCACAATGATGGTCCATTTTCCGTATACACCGCTTGCAAACTCGACAATGGTGTGCTCTGGGTGGTCTCAAAGAGTCACAACGGGTACACATGGTCCATTCAGTTGCAGACGGTCGACTGAACGAATGATCCCTTCGGAACGCCGCTTCTTCATCTGATTCATCCTCCTCGTCTGATGAATAGTCCACGTTCTGCTGGTTCAACGGCTTCTCAGCTCTGCAATTTCACATTTTTAGGGAGAAAATGGGTTAAAATAGTGGAAATTTGACGAACATTCAGCTAAAATGGTCCAAAATTGGTCTAAAATAATCTAAAATTGGTCTAAAATAGTCTAAAATAGGTCAAAAATAATCCAAAATCGGTCTAAAATAGTCCAATATTGGGCTAAATTGTCCAGAATTGGTCAAAATTGGTCTAAAATAGTCTAAAATTGGTCTAAAATGATCAAAAATCAGTCTAAAATGGTCCAAAATTTGTCTAAAATGGTTTAAAATGGTCTAAAATGAGCTAAACATGGTTAAATATGACTGAAAATGACCTAAAGAAAATGCATTTTGGAAGAGGAAAATAGGGCCAAAAATGACTGAAAATGACCTGAAAATGGCTAAAAATGCCGCGGAACCGTCAAAAATCGGTCTGAAATTCATTTTGAAGGGGTTTTTAGAATCAAAAATGACTGAAATTGAGCTAAAAATGACCTAGAAAATTCAAAAATAAGCTAAAATAGACCAAAAAGTGACTGAAAAGCCCTAAAATGACTTTAAACGAGCCAAAAATGAGTTAAAATGCCCTAAAATGGTCGAAAATTGAAAAATATTGCTTTCAAATTTGAGATTTTAAGAAGGAAAAATCATGGAAAATAGTGAAAATTTGTTGAAAACTTGACTGAAAATCATTTAAAAATGACCTAGAATCGTCAAAAATCAGTCTAAAATGGTCCAAAATTGGTCTAAAATGATCTAAAATCAGTCTAAAATGGTCTAAAATTGGTCTAAAATGGTCCACAACGACTGAAAATGTCTAAAAATTCCCTAGAATCGTCAAAAATCGATCTAAAATTCACCTTTTCAGAGGTTTTTAGAGTAAAAAGGGTCCTGAAAATGAGCTAAAAATAGCTAAAAATGACTAAAAATGACCTGAAATTGACCAAAAGTGCCCTCGAAGGGTCAAAAATTTGGGTTCTTTAAAGCTAAAATGGCTGAAAATGCCCATAAAGTGACTTAAAATGAGCTAAAATCGTCAAAAATCGTTACGAAATTCATTTTTCTCTGATTTTAGCGATTTTAGGACTCAAAAAAGTGATTTTCGTGGCTTTTGTCGCGATTTTTTCCCATTTTTGACTCACTTCGACTGTGAAATCGGCACCACACCCGGATCCGCGGTCATTGCTCTCGTATGAGCAATAATTGTTGTGATGAGCAGCGAATTGAACACCACGCCGTGGATTACGGTCCATATTCTGGAAAATTTCAGGTTTTTTGGGTCAAAAATCGGCTAAAATCCCGATTTTTCTGCCTAGAAATGGCCTAAAACAGCCTAAAATTTATAATTTTGGAAAAAAAAAATGAAAAAAAATTTTTTCAAAAATTTCAAAATATCAATTTTTTGCAGAAATTTTGTATTTTTAGGCAAAAAAACGCCGATTTTTAGCAATTTTTCGGCAATTTTTAGACCTTTTCCAGCCGTTTTGAAGCCTTTTTCCCAGGGCTTTTCGTGAATTTTCATGACTTTTGACCCAAAAAACTTTTTTCCCACGATCTAAATTTTTTTCTCACACTAGCGACACAAGACACAAATTTTCAAAACATACGAATGTCCAAAAGTGGGCAGCAACATCCATATGAGAATCACATAGTCTGCATAAGCCATTAGCGCATAGATCATGGCTACGCACACCAAACCGCACGGATCCCATTTGA